TGTCTTCAATTGAATGCACAATTAAAAAACTCTAGATTAGTGGGGCTTGGGTGTTGTGTGACCACGGGGGAGCCACGCTAGTCCAAAGGCTACCAGTTGTACAGTCCGTTTATGTTGAGGACAGACTCTACAACAGTGCCCTCTCGTACTGTTTTGAATGACGCAATTTTAATTATTAAACGAAAATAAATCCTTAATACGAGGCACTTTGTTTTCATGATGAAATAATTATAAATTATGTGTAAGATACATACTTAATTTTTAAAGTGAGGTTGGAATTTCCTGCCCTCAAATATAAACCCATTAAAAAAAATCCTTAATATGAGAGTTTTTTTTAATTAATAATTTTTATTTATAATTTAATATAATACCAATGGCTAACTATAAAACTTTTTTTTCTGTCACCTCTAATGCTAATTAAAATCACTGTTAATTGAGTTGTATTGGGATGTATACAGGGACTAGGCCTGTTGACTCTCTCAGCTTCGCTGCCTTTTTCCATTGCTTACAATTGCCAAAACGACAACAATATGGAGCACTACTCATGTTCCCCTTCTCAGTTTCAAGTAATCTTGTTTTTCTCCTCTCTGTATTTAGTAGCAATTGGGCAAGCTGCGCAGAAGCCTTGCATTGAGGCCTTTGGAGCTGACCAGTTTGATGAGCAAAACCCCGAAGAGCGCAGAGGCAAGAGCTCATTCTTCAATTGGTGGTTTTTCGGGGTGTGTTCGGGCCTCCTCATAGCCCTTCTCATTGTAGTTTATATTCAAGATTACTTGAGTTGGGGCCTCGGATTTGGAATCTCTTGCATTGCCATGGCAGTCTCTTTAGCCCTTTTCTTACTCGGAACTTCCACTTACCGGTATAAAATCAAAGCAGAGGAGAAAAAGAATCCATTTGCAAGGATTATTTCTGTTTATGTTGCAGCAATAAAGAATTGGCAAGGAACCACTCCGATAATAGAAGTTGAAGAGGGAAACTATGAAAACGCACCTGCAAAAAGCTCTGATCAATTCAGGTACATATAATTAAGGTTTTTAACAAAATAATTAAAGAAAATGCGACTAATTAACAAAGTTACTCTAATGTTTTAGATTTCTTAATAAAGCCTTGCTTGCAAGAAAAGGCACTGAAGATTGTGGAACTATGTGTAATATTGATGACATTGAAGAAGCTAAGGCAGCACTGAGACTTATCCCAATATGGGCTACCTGCTTAGTGTATGCAATTGCGATTGCACAATGCACTACCTTCTTCACCAAGCAGGCAGCCACAATGGAGAGAACAATCTTCTCTGGATTCGAATTCCCGGCCGCATCTCTTCAAGCCTTGACCACTATCACCATTCTCCTCCTTGTCCCTGTCTACGATTGTGTCTTTGTACCTATGGCAAGAGCCTTCACTGGAAAACTATCCGGCATCACAATGCTGCAGAGGATTGGAATCGGAATGTTTTTGTCAGCCATGTGTATGGCAATTGCTGCCCTTGTTGAAACAGAAAGGCTTAGAATTGCTAAAGAGCATGGAATAGTGGATACAAATGCGACTGTTCCAATGAGTGTGTGGTGGCTTGTTCCGCAGTATGTGTTGATGGGTGCTGCAGATGTTTTCACCAAAGTTGGACTGCAGGAATTTTTCTATGAGCAAGTAGGCAAGGACATGAAGAGTGTGGGTTTGGCGCTGTATCTAAGTGTGTTTGGGGTGGGGAATTTTGTGAGTAGCTTTCTTGTTTCCATAGTTGAGAAAGCAGGTGGGTGGTTGTCTGATGATTTGAATCAGGCACATCTCAATTACT